GGGGGGGGGGATCTTGATTTGAAGGGGACACTTCAATGTGAAGGGGGAACCATGAGCTAAACTAAAATCTTGTAGTAGTGACCAATTGAACATGACCGAAGCATTGCGCAATCATTCAAGATTACTTGATACTGAATGCCATTTGTGTAGTTTACACCATAGGGGACCATTTGTTCCATTGCTACTCCTATTTATTATTTGCCAGTCATTTATTAGTGCAATTGACCACTAGAAATCTCCCGTGTAGATAATATTGGGTCTTATAGAGAGGTGGGAGGAGCAGAGACACAACCTGCTTTAAGGATCTTGCCATTGGAGGATATATATTTTCAACCCAAACCTGATTATTGTATGTTGGTCTTTAACGCTTCTGGTTTGTGGTTTATTATTGGCTGTCCTTTCTATGACTGATTTCCTCTTACAGGCTTCCTACAAGGTGAACATTACTGGGAGGTGGAGTTCCTGGAGCCGCCCTCTGGACTCTCCGTCATGGTTGGTGTTGGGACTGGCAGAGCAGCACTGCATGCCGGGAGCTTCCAATATGTCAACCTTTTAGGTGAGTTATTTCTCGGGTGAATCTTTCACTTTTCTGACTCATAGGCTAAATACTAACCCCCAGCCCTTCACACTGCCTTACACTAAAGAATGATGGTGAGCACTGGATGCATGTTCTAGCAGTCCAACAATGGTGGCCTAGTTGATATCAACTCAGACTATTGTACATACAGCCTATAGAAGTCTATGAAGCATTCTGGGGGGTCAGCTAGCTGAGTGCGAGCCAACTGCACTGGGCTACTAGAAGCTGCAGATGGCACTTTCCTTTGAGGTCTGCAGTCTTGATAATATGTGTTGGAGGGAAAAAGGGTCTTCAACATTCTTCATTTTATTAGCAATTCCACTTAAAGGATAAGTTCACCTTTTACAAAAAAAAGTGAATTGACAGCATCCTCCCCCATCCCTGGTCCCTGCTGCGCTTAGCTTTCATAAACCCCATCTCCCACCCCCCACACTAGTCTGTGTATTGGTCTAGGCACTTTAAAGCATTACTGAGCAGCCTTGGAGGCTGTGTAGCAACATAATGCTCACAATGGCGAGCGACCATTGGTCAGCATGGCCATGTGACCAAACTGACCAATGAGAATCTCATCTGATCATTTTTTAATTTCTGGGCAGCATCCCGGAAGAAACAAGAGATTTTCATTGGTCGCAATGATGATTGGTCATTGGTTAACATAGCCATGTGACTGAGCTGACCATTGAGAAAGTCTTCTGTGCCATTTTCTTCTGTGACAGCATCCAGGAAGAAAGAAGAGTTTCACATTGGTTGCAATGATGAGTAGTCATTGGTTAGTCTAGCCACATGGCCACTCTGGGGGAGGTTTATAACCCCTGTTAGCTTTATTTCCATCTGTGTCCAATTGGAGAGATTTCCCATCACTTCCCATCCAATAGTCAAAATAGGAAGTGAGAAGAAATCCCCGGGGGTCACCAGAACCCCAGTGGAAGATTTCCCATCTATTCCTATTCTGAGGACAACCCAAAATGTGTGATTTTCTGGCACTTCTACCGGTCACCAGGACAAATAGAGAGGGTGAATCTCCCTAACAGGGACACAGACAGCAATAAAAACCTGACAAGTGTTCCAATCCCTCTCCACTCCATCCAAAACTAAAAAAAAAGTTTGGGCTTCAGTTGCCCTTTAAACTTGGACTGTCTTCCGGAGCTCACAGCAGCTCTTCTAGCACACGCAAGTGACCATACCACCAGCCTGGGCTTCGGGATTATATGCTCACCATTTATGTTCTGCTGCCATCAAACCAATCACAGAGAAGTGTGAAGATCTGATTGTGCCTTTTGTTTCTACACGTGTGCATTGGTCTAATCTGAAGCGTGTCTTTCTTCAGGCGTGGACTCAGAGAGCTGGGGCTTGTCCTATAAGGGCACCGTGTGGCACAATGGCATCAGCAAGCAGTACACAGAACCATTCTATGAAGAAGGCACCATTATTGGTGTACACCTGAACATGGAGGAAGGGACGCTGACTTTTTACAGGGACAGACAGAGTCTGGGAGTGGCCTTCACAGGGCTACACAAGGTACGGTCACATGAAAAGCAGGCACAACAAGAAATAGAAAGACTTAACTGCTAAGCAACAGAAAGCTTACATGGCACCAAAGTGATAAAAGTCCCTGGCCCATGCCGGTGTTCTTCTTTGTGTTCATGTTTCTTGGCACAGCTGCCAACTGAAGCGTATGGCACATAGGATATCCAGTCTATAAAGGGCTTGTTACATGAGCAATCAATAAGATGGCACATAAATGGTCTAACCCCCACTGGTATGTGACCAACCATCATGAGTGGAAACCGGAGAGCATGTAAATAATTTAGCATAAGCAAGTGATGAAGATACTCCTCATGGAATGCAAACTTCCTTTCCTGTATCCTGGAAGACATATCATCTCTTTAGGAGAAACCTGTCCAATATATATGAAGGCCACTACAGGTGACCTCTCCTGAAAATAATAGCTTCCTGGTTGTCATGGCTTCAATATGTGTGTTCACTGACCCAGAGCAAGTATGCAGATAAGGATTTTAAACTTTTCCCCAATCTTCAGTTGTTCCCCATCGGTGGCGATAAGTTTGTCAGTTGCACGAAGGTGAAAAAAAAGCCGATGACAAATGTGCCCATCAATAGTTGCCCTCTAGGTACTAGACATGTAAGCTGCGGAGAAATGTGGTTTGGATATTTTGTTATTTCAGGATTCAGATCGGAAATTCAATTCGGTTGGGGTTTCGTTAGTTTTGGATGAGTTTATGAATGTTCGTTATGAATACCACCGAAAACCATATACAGTATGTACAATACTAAAGCGGCGGATCCTAGACCTGAATGGCATTGGGGATCGGAGTTTCCGAATATCATTCGGGAGCTCCAGAAAGCAATACAGGTCTGGGAGCCATATTGAAGCTGAGGCTTTCTGACCCGAATGGCATTTGGGAGCTCCCGAATGCAATTCGGAAATTCAGATCCTGAATGCCATTCGGGTCTGGGAGCCTCAGCTTTAGTATTATATGTATATACTGAATAGTATATGGCTCCCATGTTGCAGTAACGCAAAATTCGTGTTCTGACCAATTCGGATGACCGAAAAACACATCTGATTGGCCAGAAAAGTCACATGTCCGATTCAGTTTCATTTTTTAACAAAATTCGGACGGGATCAGAAATTTGGAAACAGAAATTCATATTCGGATGCATTGGGATTGGGAAATTCGGATGTGTCCGAATGTCAGAAAATTATTCCGAATTTTGATTTGGAATGAAGTGAATTGCACATGTCTACTAGGTACCAGTGATCTGGATGAGGTAATAGGGATGATGTGGGAACAAACTTCTAATGGGCTAAGTAAAATGTGTTCTTACGGTAGATTATACTTCCTCCATGATATGAATGGTACCATAGACATATCCCTAGATGTCATACAAGTTACGGATGGTGTTCCTTACCAGCCATTGTGTGATGCTTAAAGTCAACTGGATGTTACTCACTTGGACATGTTTACAGTGGTTTCCTGTTTGGCGTCAAACAAAAGAAAACTCAGTAAATAGACACATACAACACGTGAACAAAAGGTTGTTGACACCTATATGAGCTTGTTGGACATCCTATTCCAAAACCATGGGTACAAATATGGAGTTGGTCCCCCTTGTGGCTATAACAGCCCTAAAGGAACCGCCCCCCCCCTCCCACCGTGAAGGCTTTTCACAAGATTTGGGAGTGTGCCTGTGGGATTTGTGCCCTTTCCGCTATAAGAACATTTGTGAGGTCAGGTACTGATGTTGTATGAGAAGACCTGGCTTCCAATCTGCATTCCTATAAGGTGTTTATTAGTGTTGAGGTCGGGGTTCTGTGCAGGCCACTCAAGTGCCTCCACATTAAACTCCTCAAATGCTGTCTTTGTGGACCTGGGTTGTGCACAGTGGCACAGTCATGCTAAAACAGAAAAGGGGCTTTCAACAAACTTACTACAAGGTTGGAAGCGCACAATTGTCTATAATGTCTGTGTGTTGTAGCACCAACAGTACTCTCCACTAAAACCACCTGAACGGAACCATTTGGAGGGAGGTCCGCATACTTTTAGCCATGTAGGGAAGGTGTGATGGTCAGGTGTAAGTGCTTTTGGCATTATAGTGTATGTCTATACATTGCTTTTACCAAAACTGTTATTTCCCAGGTCCAGCACCCCATATATCCGATGGTCTCTTCTACCAGCCCAGGAACCGAGTTGGCACTGGGATTGCGTTGCTGCAGCTTGCCCACTCTGGAGGAGCGATGTCTCAGCACTCTTGCTCGTAATTTGACACAAACAGACTTGGTTGATCGGCTCCCTCTTCCTGCCATTGTCAGGTGGAAGCTGAAAAGCTGGAAAAGCTAGGATGTCCCGAGGCCTGAACTGTACCCAGGAAGCTGCTGCTGTGGACTCTGTGCCGGGAGCCATGACGGCCGTATTGTAAGCCAGGAGATCTTTATTTAACTTGTGCTCTTGTGTCAATAAGGAATGGCAAAAGAACATTTCAAGAAAACAATGGAGAGAAAGTAAAGACATTAGTGGGCCTGTACATGGACCTTCACTAAGCAAGCATCACCCATGTAGAGATGCCTAATGAGAACCCCCAATCACTGGAAGTGATGGATATCCTGCAAACTCTGTGCGGCATGCAATTGTTCTCCTTAAGTGGGGAAAGAGGAAGAAAGATTTGCTGCATGTGTACCACGGACACCTGTAATCTGAATGAGGAGGAAGATCAGGTCCCAGGCAAGCTGATGTCCACCATGATTGTCAGCGAGACGTCTAACGATGGAATATATGGTTAGATTGTCACGTCCTTCAGAACATGCTGGACTGGGATTAAAGTCCAACTCCAGACAATTTTAGAACAGTTTATATCATCCAGGGTTCCTCCAGAGGGTGCTGGAGGTCCCTTGAGTAATTTCTACCTCCTAGACAAGAATGATCTCTTTAGCTACTTGTAATAGGGGTATTCTTCCCACTGATCAGCAATGTAAGGGACATTCTTCCCACTGACCACCAATGTATGGGACATTCTTCCCACTGACCACTAATGTGTGGGACATTCTTCCCACTGACCACCAATGTAAGGGACATTCTTCCCACTGACCAGAAATGTAAGGGACATTCTCCCCACTGACCACCAATGTAAGGGACATTCTTCCCACTGACCACCAATGTAAGGGACATTCTTCCCACTGACCACCAATGTAAGGGACATTCTTCCCACTGACCACCAATGTAAGGGACATTCTTCCCACTGACCACCAATGTAAGGGACATTCTTCCCACTGACCACCAATGTAAGGGACATTCTTCCCACTGACCACCAATGTAAGGGACATTCTTCCCACTGACCACCAATGTAAGGGACATTCTTCCCACTGACCACCAATGTAAGGGACATTCTTCCCACTGACCACCAATGTAAGGGACATTCTTCCCACTGACCACCAATGTAAGGGACATTCTTCCCACTGACCACCAATGTAAGGGACATTCTTCCCACTGACCACCAATGTAAGGGACATTCTTCCCACTGACCACCAATGTAAGGGACATTCTTCCCACTGACCACCAATGTAAGGGACATTCTTCCCACTGACCACCAATGTAAGGGACATTCTTCCCACTGACCACCAATGTAAGGGACATTCTTCCCACTGACCACCAATGTAAGGGACATTCTTCCCACTGACCACCAATGTAAGGGACATTCTTCCCACTGACCACCAATGTAAGGGACATTCTTCCCACTGACCACCAATGTAAGGGACATTCTTCCCACTGACCACCAATGTAAGGGACATTCTTCCCACTGACCACCAATGTAAGGGACATTCTTCCCACTGACCACCAATGTAAGGGACATTCTTCCCACTGACCACCAATGTAAGGGACATTCTTCCCACTGACCACCAATGTAAGGGACATTCTTCCCACTGACCACCAATGTAAGGGACATTCTTCCCACTGACCACCAATGTAAGGGACATTCTTCCCACTGACCACCAATGTAAGGGACATTCTTCCCACTGACCACCAATGTAAGGGACATTCTTCCCACTGACCACCAATGTAAGGGACATTCTTCCCACTGACCACCAATGTAAGGGACATTCTTCCCACTGACCACCAATGTAAGGGACATTCTTCCCACTGACCACCAATGTAAGGGACATTCTTCCCACTGACCACCAATGTAAGGAACATTCTTCCCACTGACCACCAATGTAAGGGACATTCTTCCCACTGACCACCAATGTAAGGGACATTCTTCCCACTGACCACCAATGTAAGGGACATTCTTCCCACTGACCACCAATGTAAGGGACATTCTTCCCACTGACCACCAATGTAAGGGGCATTCTTCCCACTGACCACTAATGTAAGGGACATTCTTCCCACTGACCAGAAATGTAAGGGACATTCTTCCCACTGACTACCAATGTAAGGGACATTCTTCCCACTGACCACTAATGTAAGGAGCATTCTTCCCTCTGACCACCAATGTAAGGGGCATTCTTCCCACTGACCACCAATGTAAGGGACATTCTTCCCACTGACCAGAAATGTAAGGGACATTCTTCCCACTGACTACCAATGTAAGGGACATTCTTCCCACTGACTACCAATGTAAGGGACATTCTTCCCACTGACCTCCAATGTAAGGAGCATTCTTCCCACTGACCACTAATGTAAGGAGCATTCTTCCCTCTGACCACCAATGTAAGGGGCATTCTTCCCACTGACCACCAATGTAAGGGACATTCTTCCCACTGACTACCAATGTAAGGGACATTCTTCCCACTGACTAGTAAGCAGTGTAAGTACCTGAAATTGACCTGGTATCAGCCTCTTGGAGTCCACGTGCAGCAGGCCACAGACAGGGACAGGAAGAAGCAACAGAAGGACCCAGCCAGTTGCATGGCGGAGAGGAGGAGAGAGAAGAGTGGCAGCGATATAAACTCACCTGTCTGCTGCTTTCTCACTGTCCAATCACATTCTGGGAAAGTCTTTTGTTTATAGACATCTTCATACTGATCACATTTATAATGATTGAACACAAAGAGTAGAGTGAGTGAGGAATATATATAAAGGAAGGTTTGAGAGGGAGAGTTGGTCATAGGACATGGTTTGAAGAAACAGGCCCGGCGCTACCGCAAGGCAAGTCAGGCGGCCGCCTTACGGCGCTGCACGGTGAGGGCGGAAAAAATGTGGGCTCTGCAGGGTCACCCTCAGGTGGGCTGGTGGCACTCCTTACCTGTCCGCTTCCTCTTCCTCCACGCTCGCTGATGGGCCCTGCCTCCTCCTTCACCGGGCCCGCCTCCTTCTCCGTCACTGGGCCCCGCCTCCTCCCCTGCTGTCGACCACGGGCCCCACCCCATCCTCCACTGCCGGGCTCGGCCTCCTCGACCCCCGCTGCTGGCTCTCATTGACTCAGCAACGGCTGTGGAGACAAACGCGCTGCTGCACTGATTACTGTCAGTGATCTGAACAGCGGCACATGCTTCTTCAGAGCGGCCAGTGAAAGCCACCAGCAGAGGATGCCATAGCGACCCAGGCGGCCCGCTCGGCATCTGGCCGGGCCCCCCTGTGCCCCGGGCCCCATAGCGGCCGCCTGGGTTGTTACGCCACTGATAGTGACTATTCACCCCCCTCCCCTCTCCAGATGAGGACATGGGTAGTAGATTGAATGTGAGAAGAGAGTAGAGGTGAAAGTGACGGAAGTTGTGAGGATGGGTAATGTAAAGTGAATGATTTTGGATATGAATGAAGGTGAAAGTATTGGAGCAGATGTCTTGTTAATTAGAGATATGTAGAAATTATGCTATTTATGGGATAAAATGACGTCTTATATCTCTTTTATGAAGTTATGTATAAATGTGTTTATGTGAAATAATAATAATAAAAACTATATTAAACAAAAAACATTCTGGGAAAGAGACCTAGAAGTGTTACTGAACTGTGGTAGAGAGTAAGGTCTCCTGCCCTGCCAGACAGGGCTGTGCTGTGTGGCATTGCTGTGTAAATCTCAGGACTGAATAGATAGAAAGAGAACTTGATAGCCGTTTGCTGGGAGTTCAGCTCTAATCTTTTAGCGCCCTCCATGGTGGGTCACTGGCACTGGGGGTGAGTGTACATCATACATCGTCTCTGCTTTTTGCACTACCAATAAGTGAATGTAATGAGCACTGATATCTGATATAAGAATGTGACACGCTGTATAACCGCACACACATTGCTGTCTCACATGTGAATAACAAGCTGCTATAGCATGCAGTCATTGTACACCGCTATTGTTATAAAGGTCAGGTCGTTCCTATTCCAGAAGGAAGAGAAGTAAACCAACCATTGAGGAAGACCTAATACTCTGCTACCTCTGCCAATGTACAAATAGCAGCTACTGTTATATATGTATTATGTGGAATATAATAAATCGTTCTTGTATTTTCTATAATCTGTGCCTTTGCCTTGTAATTTATAGTTTATTACACACACAGGCTCTGCTTCCTGCTTTGCAGTGCTACACAATGGTTGTGCTTTACTGCTTGTGACAATGCAAGCTGGCCAACTCACTAAAAACAATGCACTCCCTGTGTGGCTCATAGCTCCTCATCAGCTGTTACATAGGGAAGTTGTGTGACCGCTATGAAATAAAAGGCTCCCCCTAATCTACAGATTTCACACAATATGAAGAAGCCAGGCATGTAAAAGTCAGGTAAACCCTGCAGTAATGACTTAAAATACACCAATCAGCCATAACATTGTGACCATTGAGAGGTGAAGGGAATAACATTGATTATGTGGTTACAATGGCACCTGGAAGTAGGGGGATATATTACAATGGCACCTGGAGGTGGGAGGGATATATTACAATGACACCTGGAAGTGGGGGGAATATATTACAAGGGCACCTGGAAGTGGGGAGATATATTACAATAGCACCTGGAAGTGGGGGGAATATATTACAAGGGCACCTGGAAGTGGGGAGATATATTACAATAGCACCTGGAAGTGGGGGGAATATATTACAAGGGCACCTGGAAGTGGGGAGATATATTACAATAGCACCTGGAAGTGGGGGGAATATATTACAAGGGCACCTGGAAGTGGGGAGATATATTACAATAGCACCTGGAAGTGGGGGGAATATATTACAAGGGCACCTGGAAGTGGGGAGATATATTACAATAGCACCTGGAAGTGGGGGGAATATATTACAAGGGCACCTGGAAGTGGGGAGATATATTACAATAGCACCTGGAAGTGGGGGGAATATATTACAAGGGCACCTGGAAGTGGGGAGATATATTACAATAGCACCTGGAAGTGGGGGGAATATATTACAAGGGCACCTGGAAGTGGGGAGATATATTACAATAGCACCTGGAAGTGGGGGGAATATATTACAAGGGCACCTGGAAGTGGGGAGATATATTACAATAGCACCTGGAAGTGGGGGGAATATATTACAAGGGCACCTGGAAGTGGGGAGATATATTACAATAGCACCTGGAAGTGGGGGGAATATATTACAAGGGCACCT